GTTTAAGCTCACTGAATGATTCACTGAAGTTGATAATGCAGTCTGTAATGTTGTACTCCTTCCAACACTTGCTAACATCAAGGTCAGGGTCTTCATCCATGGCACTACAGATACAACCAAAAGAGCAGTATGTATAATATGCCTTGAAGGTGTGTATTACACCCTGATTGAGAGGTTGGATAAGAGCAATGGTGTTAGGGGGTAGGAACACCACCTCTACACCTGGATGGCTAAATTGCAAACTTTCTGGGTGGCCTGGTGCATTTTCTATCAATAATAACACCTTAAATTCCATCTTCTTGGAAGCAAGGTATTTTTCCACTTCAGGGATGAAACATTTATGGAACCAGCCCAGGAAAGCTTGCACAGTTACTCATGCCTTTTCGTTGGACTGCCAAAACACTGGCAAAAGCTTCTTGTTTTTCCCTTTAAAGCCTTAGGGTTTGCTGAGCGGTAAAGCAAGCCAGGCTTGATAATGCAGCCAGCTGCATTGCCACAGAAGATGAGCATCACTCTGTCCTTGGCTTCCTTGAACCCAGAGGCACATCTTTCCTGCTTGTTTATATATGTTCTACAGTACCAGGTAGTTTCTTCTAATATAAACCAGATTCATCAGCATTTAACACTTGCTCTGGTCTATAGCCTTTCTTCAGCTTGGCGGGAAATGCACCTGCGGCTGTGTGGTCAGCTGATGCGGCCTCCCCAGTCAGCTTAACATTATGGAGCGAGAATCTTTTCTTAAAATTCTCGAACCAACTTTTACTGGCACTAAAAGTTGGTTGTCACTGCACTAGCCCCTTCACCACCTGTTGACTCATAAAAATGAGCATAAAGACTTTTAGGCTCTTCACAAATCACATTGCCGTCTATCGGAACATTTTTGCTGTGCTAGTCCTCGATCCAAATGTTCAGTGCTTTCTCGGTTTTTACAATGTTCTTGTCACAAACAACCTGCGCCACTTTAGCACTTGCAGGAGCACTCGCTTAAACAGAATCACGAATTGCTTTTTCATTCTTTCTTATGTACCGCACTGTGGATTCGTTCACACCAAACAACCGGCCAACCGCGGCAGCACTCGCCCCCTCTTTTAACTTGTCTAATAATTCAATTTTCTTTGCCAGGGGTCATCACTGACTTTTGCCTTTTCTGTTTCACTCCACTAGCAGCACTGGCACTAGGTAGTCTTTTCGGGGCCATTTTCGCAAAGAAACACGAAAGTTTTGAGAGTGTGACACGGGATGCTAGGTCACGGGTACTGGGTGAGGGCAAACAGAGTGGATGAGACGCCGCGGGCACATAGGGTGACTCGTTGCACTGCTAGCCATCATCTGTTTACTGCAAATTGGCAACCCGCAAATAACAAGGAAATCCCTGTGACTGCAAATAACTGTACTGTATATAATTTTAAACTGATGAGGTGATATTGAATTGGTGAGGGTTCATTGTATAGGTAATCCTCTTTTATCCCAAAATCACATACTGGTATCTCTCGTTATACAGATGGGTTAGGTTCCTTAAGGGACCATTATTTGTTAAAAAGTGAATAGCTTTTGTAAACAGGTTGAAAATTCCAAATCTGAAATCCTTGGGGCTGAATGTGTCTCGGATTCTGGATTTTTTCAGATTTTGGGATACCTGTACACTGTATACCTGTATAATGGGGTACAGGTACCTCACCCAGAGGGGCCTGTGCCCAAGTCTAAACACAAAATTCATGGATATCTCATTTACCGAATATGGATACATATAGCCTGCAGGTAGTTTAATGCGATATTTTTAATAATTTTGTGCATGAAACAAAAAGAAAAAGATGCACATTAAACCATCAGAAAGGTAAGGTACCACTACTGTAAGCCTACCTGTAACTGACCCTGAAATTTACCCAAGTGCAGTCTGTGTCTTACCTTCATTCATTAATGCTCTAGGGATGAGGATGCACTCTGAGAAAGAAATACTTTATAAGAACAGAATATTCGTATAAGCAAATGTCCATATAGCAAGGGATACCTGTATTGCAATTTTGTGTTGTCACATATCTGATTTGTATGTACGAAATATCCAAGTGTGTGTGGTTTTTTTTTTTTAATGCTATTGCAAGGAAAATTTTTAATCATGCACTCAAACTACTTCCAACAGAGCACCCTTTCCCAAGCAGCTAACGAGCCGATCTGTGGTGAAAAGGATAAAAGTAACAGTCAACAAGAATCTTTTAAATTTGCAGAGATGCATCAGTTCATGCTCAGCTTTCAGAGGGTGAAGAAACATAATCCACAATCCTCTCATATAATTATTTATTACTACAACTTAAATCTTTTATACATTCTTAACTTTATTAAGTGTGTTTTTTTATGCCCATAATACTAGTGGTAAACTTGGGTGTAAATGGTGGTGGTTGTTGGTTGGTAAGTTGAGAAATGTCCATGAGAGGTAGAATATCCACTGAATAATATACAACTACAAAAAAAAATGAAGAGTAGGAAGTGAATTGGTTCTTGAACATTCGCCACCCCCCTGACCTCATTAATACAACAGTATGCAATTTCACCATAATTCCCATCTTATTTTGGTTCATTTGGTACTAGGATAATAAAACATTATGGTAAAATAATAAATTAAAAAAAATTCCACTTGACTCCAGATGAGCTACAGTATATAGTATGGTATTAAATTCCTGGGTCTTTGTTGACACAGTGCAGTCACAGCCAGCCCGGTGCCTCCCTGTCTTGATGTTCATGTACAGGTATCCTTCATTTTGCATTTATTCACTCCACTTAAATTCGGTTTAGCGCTAAAAAATTTGACACCCATTCTCACTTAACGTTAAGTCAAAATTTGGTTTAGCAATAGTTTGACTCACTGAGAAGGGGAAAACTGGGGAATAGATGGCATGTTGCCATTGTTACATGTAATAAAACTATAAAAGTTGTGGAAAAATCATTACAATAATAAAACTATAAAATATGATAAATGAAGAGTATGGGTATGTGTGTGAAGTGAATGTGTGTGTGGGGACAGTGAACTATAACTTCATTGCCAACTCTCCACTCAGCTGCATTCTTCCTTCCCTGATGGGAAGTCATAACATACACAGCATGGCAGCAGTCACACGTCTCAGAATCAGCAGGGTGACTGCCTGGTTGAACTGTGTCATGTCGGCCAGAGGATGGGTTGACTGTACATAAAATGTGCGTTATTGTATTTTGCAATATGCTTTTATAAGCTTTAATGTTTATCATAGCAATTTTTGTTAACTTTTGATGTATGCCCAGCCAGGAATGCATACCATTGTTTCTAATGGGAATGTGAGTTTTGCATACAGTACAGTATTGCAATTTCACACATCTTAAGAGTTTTCAAGAACAGAAGCCTTGTGATAAATGAGGATTACTTGCAGTACTGTATTTGTATATTTAATTGTTTGTTTATTCTTTCATTCAATTGTTTGATGTATCGTATATACCCAACAGGTACATTGTTACTCCACCATAATGCACTCACTCTTTTCTGGAAACAATCTCAAGAGATCATCGATATCATTACCATATTCTGCTAAGAGGAGACGACCTGCTTCATTAAACCACAATGTACCTCAACAGTAAGTCTTTAATTTTCTCTCTTTGTGAGATTTTTTTTGTCTTTGCAATTTGGTCCTTCAGAAATTACTTAAAAGGTTAATGACAGTAATGCAAGAGCTGTTATACACTGGTCCCTTACTTATCATAGGGATACATCCCTGAAAATTGGCATGCAAAGCATAATTGTGCAAAACCAGGCCAATTTTACTGATATTGTAAGTATTGGTGAGGTTTTGCATAGAGGTAGGCTGAGATGGTTCTAGTATGTGGAGTGAATGATGGAGACCAGTTGGTTCAAGAAATGGTTGGGTTTGAATGTGGATGGATGAAGAGCTAGGAATAAGCTTTGGTCCGAGACTGAGGGTTAATTTTCCAGTCACTGAAGGCAGTACAGTAGTCCCTCACCAACTGTAGGGGTTAGGTTCCTGAAAAACCCCATGGCTGCGGATAACACTCGTCAAGGCCTAAGTTGCCTGTTCCTTCACTAAACAAGACCTGTGTTGTACATTTAATTAAATTTGAGTACTGTACTTATAAAATCATTTAATCTAAATTAAATACTGTAGTAATATAAATTTTACAATACATCTCCTTGGAGATGGCACATTGCTATAAAATAAGAAAAATGAAGAGCATGGGTGTGTATGTGTATGAAGTGAACATGTGTGTGTGGACTTGGCAGATTGTCAAGTTAGACTGTCCCTGTAGCTACCACCCCCTACCAGCCTAAGCTGTGTTATTGTTATTTTTCAACTCGTATTTTCATGTAGACATACGTAATTTTATTCATTTTTTAACACTGTTACAGGAACACTCAATCATTCATACAGACTGTGTAAAAAAAAAAAGTGGTTATCATAAGGTTATAAACATAAAGAAAATAAACATTTCTTATGTCCACAGGAGTTAAGTGTTGAATCATGGGATGGGTGTAGTGTTATAGGGATCTCTGCCTCTCCATACCAGGCTAAGCTGTGAGCCGCATTATTGTTCTTTTTCAACTTGTAGTTTATTAAAAAAAATTATATGTTTATTTTTTATTTTTTTACTGTTACATGTACACAATCGTTCATTCAGAATGTGAAAAAAATTAATGAAGGAAATGATTATTACTGTATAAGGTCAAAAACATAAAGAGGTAAACCATTTCTTACATCCGTAGGAGTTAGCTGACTATCGTGGGAGGAAGAGGGGGAAGCGCTCTCTTGTGCCCTTAGAGAAATGGTTGCCAAATGACAATGCAGTATTTTTCATTTATTAGTCCAGGTATTTTTTCATTCCTCACATTTATGGAAGATTACATTAGATCGCAGAGGGATAAAGATGCCACACTAATCCACGGATACTCGACATTCAATGCCGTGGTTGGTGAAATGGTATACCGGTACAGAGTAAAAACCGAGGATACCCGGCATCGACGGATGAGAAATCTGAGGTTGGCGAGGGTCTAATGTACAGTATATAGTACCTCGAATTCTTGGTCATTTTCTTCTGAGCTGGCCAAGGGTCTTGCTTCAGGTCTTTGTGATGACAGCTTTGAGGGTACCATTCATCATTTGGACTAAATTTGTTGGTTATAGGATTGATTTTAATTTATTTTATTTTATTTTTTTAACCCTTTCACAAATCGGGGTTTGCTTGTACAGTACTTGGAAAACTTATTTTTTTTATTTATTTTAGCTCTTTTTGCCATTTTCATACATTAAGGAGAAAATATAAATCAGTAACCAGTATTTTAAGAAATTTTTATCACAATTTATCACCTGTATTGCTCAGATTGGCTGTTCTTATTGGATTTCTGCATTTTTTATGGTGATTTGTCTTTCGAGTGAAGGGCTTTACTGAACAAGTAATGCATTATACACTACAGTGATGTGTGGAACTCTGGGCAGTACAGTAACAATGACGGATCATCTTTGATTTGAGAGGAATATTTCCTTGTCAACTGACTGCTTTGGAATCTTCCCAGTAGATTATGAAACAGGATTGAAGCTTGAAATTACATTTTCTGGCTGTGAAGGAGTAAAGTGATCTGGAATTCCTCTCTCTGTACCCTGGTTGTTTCTCCCATTGGCAGGAAAAATTCAAGTTTTATTGTATGATTCCTAAGTCTGTGTTAATTAGGGTACAATTCAAGCAAAGGAATTTAAGATTTATAATAGTGTTCTTGTTGACCTCCAGCTTTGAAAGCAACTACCAGGATGGAGCAGGAGTTCACTTTAGAACCCTTGTCTGAATGATCAAGTGACTGCGAAGAGCATTTTCACTGATCTGATTTGTTCTATATCCCCACTTGAGAATGCAAATGGCTCTTTGGTTAAGGCAGTCTGTACTAGGGGTTGTTTTGGACTCTTTCCCTTGTCCATAAAATAGGGTTTCCTGTGAGATACTTTTTTCTAATCTAATTAGTATGAAGCAATTTAAGCTGGCACTTGTTGTGTGGTATTTAATTGCCTACAAGTGTGAGAATAAAGATCACTGATTATATTTCATATAAAGCAAACACTTAATTTTATGCTTTGATATTGCAGGCAAGTTGACATGCTGATTCAAGGAGTTATCAGATGTTTCAAGACATGACTCTAAACATATCCCGACCCTTTGGTAACAATGCTGTAGTCCAGGTATGTTAATCCTTTCCATTCATGTAATTACTTATGTATAATTTAGGAGGCCAAAGTATTGTATTATCACATGTATCATAGTCTTTGCAGGAATCATCTATTGTAATTACCATGTATTTTTTACTGGATCATTTTCTGCCTTGTGGGTCTTGTGCAAGTGATATACCTAAAACATCATCTTGCTGTAGGATACTACAGTGGTCCCTCGATTAACGAACGGTTCGGTTAACGAATTACCTCCCATAAGAATCTTGAATTCGGTTAACGAACAAAAATTTGATTAACGAAATCCTTACGAACATCACGTTTTGTTGTGAGCATCAGCTGATGGGCTAGTCTGCCAATTCAGTAATCTGTCCTATGTTTAAATTCGTTTCCAATGGAGTAAATACCAGTAAAGTTGTGCACTTTAATATTTTTGCATGTTTTATATTAAAATTATTAGTCATTTTAACATTTATTAAACATATTGATAATATATGCAGTACAGGGAATTAGCTTGTTGTGCGGCCATAAGATGCGTGAATCAGCTACAAGGCGTCAGTTGGGCTTTGAAAACAGTGGAGAGAACATCTATTTTGTTGGTGTCTTGAATATTTTTGCATTTTTCATTGAAATTATTGGTCATTCTGAACTTTGGTTAACATATTGATAATATATAGCGCAGTGCAGTGTTGATTTAAAGAAAATGATCTTGAATTACACCAAGTGAACTTAAAATTTTAATGGTGAAATGACTGCATCAAGCATGGGTCCACTGAAAGGTGATTTCTCCTCCATCCCCACTTCCTTCTCTTCTCCCTTCTCCTCCACCCTCACTTCTAATTCCCATCATCATCATCATCAACCAGGAACCTTCTACATACACACCTCAAAGTAAGTGTACTTTACTGCACTTTTCTTTTTACTTTCTATGTACTTTTCGGTGAGCTGGAACCAATTACCCAATGTCCCATTGAAACAATGGATTCGGTTAACGAATGACCTTCTGGAACGAATTATGTTCATTAACCGATGGACTACTGTATATTCATGCAAATAAATATTACCGTGCAATGCAGGTGGATGTGTCAAGGACCAGTAAAGCATCTGATTAAAGATTCAACCCTTCTGTTTAGACTCACAGATTCAAACCCCTTCAGCCATAAATGAAAGTTTATGCTATGGCTTCCTGCAATTTCTGCCAAAAGAGTTTCTCCTGATTTTAGTGACTGGTACTGGCGACTTCATGTAAATCTTCTACCGAGACCAAGTGTTGTAATTATATTTTTTTATCCAGTTTAGATATTTATTTATTTACAATATATTTATACGTACCCAAGAATGTCTGTGGGTAGTTTTAAAGTTGCCAGCATTTTTGCGGCTGGGACAGGGAGCCATTCGTTCTAGAGACAGTAATTTCCTTTACCTATGATCTAAATATGTGTGTGTGTGTGTCTACACAGACACACACATATACAATATTACAGGTAAAAGAAATAACTGTCCTAAGGGCAAACTCATAAAGGGAATATACATTTTTTGTACACAAGAAAAATGTCACGCCCCCTCCCCCCCCCCAAACCGGTTCGCAAATGTTATTCACGGATTTGGCGATTCACGGCTATTTTGAGAACATAACCCCGCGAATTTTGGGGCCGCCTGTACATTTGAAATTACATTGAATTTTTTTAGTGTGGAAATCATATACAGTGATCCCTCGGTTAACGAGCGCCTCGGTTAACGAATTACCTTCCATAAGATTCTTAACTTCGGTTAACTAGCATTCCCTCGATTAACGAATTCCTTACGAGCGCCCCTCAACATGTTTTTGCTTGCACACTAGCTGTCGTATTAGTCCACCAATACAGTAATCGGTTCTAGGGCTTAAATTCCTTACTATTTTAGTAAATATCAAGAAGTTTGTACTATTCAATAATTTTAAAAGTCTTATAAATTTTTTTGTCATTTTAACAATTATTTAATATAATTAAAGTACAGGGAAACTAGTTTTTAGCGCGCCAAACAGCCTCTCAACACACCAAGCAGGCGTCAGTCTCTGTGTCTTTTCAGTGGAGGTAACATCTTGCTTCAACTTTAGGCAATTTTCGGTGAGCTGGAACCAATTACCCAAAAACCCATTGAAACAATGGTTTCGGTTAACGAATTTTTCGGTTAACGAGCAACCTTCTGGAACGAATTGAGCTCGTTAACCGAGGGACCACTGTACAGATGGCGTTACGTTCCTGAAAACCCCATCGCAGTTCAAAATATCGTAAATCAAGATTATTAAAACATGGGGTTCAATGGGATATGTTACCAGCCAGTCCGACACCCACACGTATCACCGAAAATAAAATTCCTACAATAATGATATTCATAAAACACAATTAAACAACACTTGTCCCCATCGAGGCTAAGGGGACTCTTGAATGGTGGAGTGGACACATCACTCTGACTCCCATACAACTTTACAGTGTCAAGCTTTACCTCCAGAGGCATGGTTTTCCTGGATGTCTTGGCCGTCTCAGACATTTTCAAAGTTACACTGCTCACTTCAGTCACAAAAACAGCGAACGATGATAACTTAGTACAATGATAGTGGCTGACACTGCTTGCATTATGTTCAGAACAACAGAGGCAAAGCACTTTACTTTCACAAAAAATAGCAAAAAATCACTTCACAGTCACCAAAACAGAGTACAATGTAAATGTTTATGATGTCCTCTCACTGTAAGTAAAAAAAAAAATACCGATGGCAAGTAACAATACCAATACTGACCGATAATCATTGAGCTACACGATAACCCATACGAAATTTGTAAATTATGACCACTAATTTTGGGATACAGCCCTTTAATTTGATCTTACGGAAATGGGATAAATGTTCAACATTTTCACCGCAAAAATTGCAATATAGAACAACAACAAAATTCACAGGCATAATCTGTATGGTGTGGGTTTCTTGGTGTTTGCTACCACCAAGTGTGAGTACATAGCCCACCCATGCCACTGAACTTGGTTTGTTTATATCTCCCAGCATGTACGCTTGATCTCATGACCCCATCCTCGGATTTAAGACTGTCCAGTTTATTACCTTTATTCAAGAGGAGTGGAAAGAGGCCATTAAGTGCAAGTGAAAGCAGTAGCGCTAAAAGAGCCCATAAAGGAATCATGTTGCAGATAAAACTTGAAGTTTTATGGAGGCTATGCAGGAAAAAACTTACCCAGATTGCAAAAGCATTAGAGCTTGTTACGTCTCCCACTAATAACTTTTGCACCATCGCACCTCACACAGCACTCATCGTTTGTGGTGAGTTACATTCAAATGTTTTGTATATTTATTATTTTAAAAAAATACTCCATGTACAGTGTGTTTAAAAACGTTTCTTTTCATATATAAGAGTGCTTTTATTACTTCTTTTTGCCCAAAAGTTTCTTTGGGAACACATCTCCAATTATATAATGGAAGTCAATGGGAAAGCGGAGTTCACTTTACGGTCAACTTTTCAAGGGTGCATCCCTTCTGTAAGTTGGGGGATTACTGTATCATAATATTTTGAAATTCTGTATGTCGGGGGATTACTGTATCATAATATTTTGAAATTTTACCTAATATTGTAATGGTCATGATAAGAGCTAACCGAAAAACCTTAAGGATTCATATTACGCTCAAACGTCCACAAAACCTTCTGAGTCCCCCAGTGGAAACGTCCCCCGTTTTCTCTGTTTCCCCCGTCTTTGTCTATGGGAGCTTGGAATATAATCCGCGGATTTAGTAGCAGACGCTGTATGCTGGGACCTGTTGCCATCCAACCCTTTGTAATCAATTTAATTTTGCTTTTGATAGCTGAGTCAGAGTAGAGTATTGCGCAGTTAGCTCAAGGGATAGATGGTATGTAGCTACCGACCGCATGGACCAGCAAGTTGAAGACATGGTCCAAGTAGAACTCGGTACCGATGAGGAAGATTGGGATAAACTTAAAGCAACCTTGCGGAAATTGTTTGTGAAACCAATCCCGCTGGAAGTTGCCCTAGTATTTATGGTGCTAAATGACTATAATAGTTGTGTTCTTGAGTATGTCCACCCAGTAGGGTTGGAAGTGTTATTGAATATGTCCACCCAGTAATGGTGTGAGTATGTTGAGACTGAGGGCCTAGTACTAGATTTCGTCTGTTAGTACAAACCCATTCTTTCTTCTAATTTCATATTCATGTTTAAATAAACTTTGTATTTGTATAATTGTGTCGATTATTTACCTACAGTATTTACCGTTATTTCTTCCCTATTGCTTGTTACTATCATTACACCTACCCACGAGCCTCCTATCGTCACGCTACCAATGGTGATAAGTATAAGAGTAAAAGGAATTGTTACTGGCACACAGAGGCCCTCATAAATGGTGGCAGTTCAAGCCCTCATAATATAATATGACATTTTTAATACAGGTTGTACCTCTCTAGTCCGGCAACCTCAGGACCTGACCGGTGCCGGACCATGGAAATTCACCCTTTTCCTGGATAGATAGTGACTTGTGCTTATGCCTGGAAGCACTAGCACCACTTTCTCTGCGTCATGGTCTCTTTGAAGACATATTGAAGGGTTAAATGTCGTATAGTAGCTTCTCAAATTTCGCGAGTTTTTTAATTCTTACCGTATTTTATTGGAACACAAAAAAATAAATAAATAAAAATTTTGACGGCGGAAACTTGAATTTTGACGGGTTTGAATGGCCCGCCAACGTGCAGACGACGTGCATAATCGTGTAAACAGCGTCATTTCTCTTATGTACAAAGATTCATTATTGTTTATTACTGAATGTCTTTTTTATTGAATTAATGTTTGTGTGCAAAATGAGCAATACAATTCATTAATAATACGTAGAAAATTAAAACACATGAGGAAATGACACAGCATTGTTTTCGTTGATTACAAAACCAGTGACTGACTGGTTCTACATATAAAACTGAAGAAATTAAGACCTTGGTTGTAGCTGTAGTAAAATTAATATGGTTGTTTAAAGTAATGTTATTTAATGTTAATAAATGGAACAATAGAAGTAGCTAACGATAATGGTAAAGAAAAAGAGAGATCGCATATGTAAGTGCGCATGCGCACACGTGAAAACATATCGTCATTACTTTACATAATATGAAAGCAACACTTATTTACTGTTCATATATATTTTAATTAATGTTTCTGAATTTGTTTTTATTGAATTAATGTACGTGTGCAAAATTAACAATACAATTTATTAATAATACGTGGAATATTAGAGGAGACGAGACGGCTGCCGGCATTGTTTATGTTAAAGCTTACGAAACCAGTAACTGATTGGTTCTACATATAAAACTGAAGAAAATAAGACCCTGAGTTTAGCTGTAGTAAAATTAATGTAAAAAATTAATATGGTTGCTTGAAGTACCTGTAATGTTATTTAATGTTAATAAATGGAACAATATAAGTAGCTAACCATTAATGGTAAAAAAAAAGTGAGTGCTCGTATGTAAGTGCGCACATGTGAAAATATATCGTCATTACTCTACATAAGAATATGAAAGCAACACTTATTTACTGCTCATATATATTGAAGGGTTAAATGTTGTCCTCTGTATAGACAAGCAGAGAGAGAGAGAGAGCAGCCGAACTGCTGGATGTAAACAAACCTTAATTTCCCGCGGCTTTTTTTTTTTAAGGGGATTAGCCCACCCGGGCATAGATCACTGACCCACATTGGGGCCTGAAGGGCAAAAATTTAATACTCCTGTAATAATAATAATAATTCAGATAAGGGAAAAAAAACAGAAAAAAAAAAAGCTGCCTATCTACCTATTGGACAAACTAAAATCGTTCCGGACCACAGAATGCCGGATTAGAGAGGTACAACCTGTATATATTTTGCAACAGAAAAAGATTGCGAATTATGGGTTTTTTACTGTACGGTGGGCCACCTTGACCAGACAGCCCATTTGGGGCAGTGTAGAAACAACTATTTTATTCTAATGAAATTATTTATAGCATCATATTTCAGTACCTGTACCTGCCATTACATGATGAAATCAAATTTTTATTGCAGGTGACTCTGGGTCGTGTGCTGAGGGCTGTGGTAACTTTCAAAGGAATATTGATTGAATGGGTTGTTGTGAGAGCATATAATGAACCATTACTTGATGAGGATGGAAAGGTGGGTTTGTCAAAATAAGTTGTTTTAAGTTTTTCTGACTTTTGAGATTTCATAGGAAAACTTAACTCATAAGACAGAATTACTCAAATAGTGAATTTATTATAGGTATTATTGGTATTACAGTATTGTATACAGTTTAAGTGATGTAAATTGTGCTGTTTTCTGTCCTGCCATCTGTGGCTGCATTTCTCTCACAACCTATCTTTGTATACAGTATACATACTGTGTTACGCCAAGTGTATACCTTGTATAAAAGTGCGATAAATCAGAACAGTTCATCCGAATATGCCATTAGTTGATGCTGAGTTAACCATCTTATCAATAAATTATATCTAAAAAAAAAAAAGCTGAAAATATTTTTGGTAAACCCCCAGTAATCAAAGGATGAATTGTACTGCACCTAGTTTATGAGAGGTTCATTAGAGGTAATGTATACAGTACTGTATATACAATACAGAAGTTTGTTGGAGTATCAGGATGTAATGCAGATGCAAAACATTTCACTCAAAATACTTGAAACTTTTATTATGACCAGATTTTGTTTTCCCCAGGTTGACTTGTACACACCATCCCAATACAAAGTGTTTCAGAAAGTGACCGACAATGCAAATGCTGCGATGTTGAACTTCTGTTCACCAGGATTTTCTGACTTGTCTATCCGCTCCTTCTTTGTAAGTACAGTACAGTACTTATTTGTGTAATGAATGGAAGCTCAGTGATTCTTGTTTTTAAAGTTTTTCATCAGTTCAGAGTGAGCTGACTCAGCATTACCATTACCACCTCCAACTCTGTTCAACGCAAAGGACTTCCACGTCCCAGTTGTCCTCCATCTCTCTCATCATGCTTTAAATCCATGTGGGTCTCGCTGTTCATCTTCTTTTGGCTCCTACAGGTGTCCACCTCATAGCTTCCCTTATTATTTTCTCTAGTTGAACACGAAGAATGTGCCCCAACCATCTACAGGTACAGTGGTCTCTCATCATCCACTCTTAAACGTATACCTGTAGTACATTTGCAATTTCCCGTATGGTTTCCTTTCTGACAAGATCCTGCCATCTTATTCACAGTATTCTCCCGAGTGTTTTACTTTTAAAATTCCAAAACTGACTATATAGTTTCATTGTTGTACTGTGTTTCTCTTCCATAAACCAAAACAGACCTCACCAATGATATGAACATTTTCATTTTGGTGTGGTTTGTCAATATTTGTGAGTTATAAGTACAGTCTCTCCTTGACTTACGGCATATTCAACTTATGACAACCCGGACATACGACGTCCCTGTCTCCTTCTCTGCTTCATCGAATTAATGTAGTCTCCATGCTTAATTAAAAAATTATTGAGGCCCCGTGTGCTTTCACCTGACTACATTAAAGGTAAGTGCCCAGTAACACTTTATTCATTTTTCATTATTGATTACTTTTACTGTACTGTATTTCATTTTAGAATTTCTGTATTATTTTCCCCTTTTCGACTTACGACCTGGTCGTCTGGACGGAACCCGTCGTAAGTCGAGGAGAGACTGTACAGTATTAGCCAACATACACATAACTTGGTTTGCTGTCTTCAGTCTCAAGCGATCAATTATTATTGAAAATAGGACCCAGGTACAGGAATATCCTGGTTGTTGCAAAGGATGCATTTCTAAAAGTCATTATGAATATTGAGACAATTTTCCCCATAAGAATCGGTGTAATAGAGGGGGGATGCGTTCCCAGCCGGCACCTTTCACAACATATTTTTTTATATACAGTACTGTACATTCCTCATTATCTGTGGCAATTAGGGACCAGGGTTGTGTGTATATTGTAGTACCAGTAAATATGAGGAATAAATAAAAATTATACTGATAAATAAAATTTTTAAATATACCTCCTTATCAGTCGGTAATACACTACACACAGGACACGGGAAACTGAAGCGCCTTAGATCCCCAAAGCTACTCCCTCCTCCTCCTCCTCCTCGCGTGATTTGCGCGCTAATTCCCGTGGACGTAAGGAATGTTTATTCCCTTATGTTTTTAACCTTATGATAATCATTTCTTTTATTTTTTTCCGCATTGTGTGTATGTAACAGAGTAAAAGAAAAAAATGTATATCTACCTGAAATTATGTTGAAAAATAAAAAAATATACAGCTCACAACTTGGTCTGGTAGGGGGAGGCTGAGATCCCCAATACCACACCCTCTTTTTCTTCTCATGATTTGCACACTAACCTCCCGTGGACGTAAGATATTTTTATTCTCTATGTTTTTGACCTTATGATGATCATTTATTTATTTATTTAATTATTTTTTCATGTTCTGTATGAAGAATTGTGTATGCATGTAAGAGTAAAATAAATGAATAAAATTTAATATTTGAGTTTAATTTTTTTTTTTTTTTTTTGAGAATCGGTTATTTTGCAAAATGACCGGCATACATATTGGTACTTTGTAAAATAACTTACAAACAGATAACCTAAACTAACCAAACCTTATGGTGGAATAAGGTTAGGTTAGGTTTGGATGGCTATTGTACCTTGATGCACAATTAAATGGTCCTGTTGTTTTTGTTTTCTTTTAACTTTGGACTGTGCGCTGTCCTAACCATAAGGTTAGGTTAGTTTAGGTAGTCTGTTTGTAAGTTATTTTACAAAATTACCAATATGCATGCTGGCCATTTTGCTAAGTAACTGATTCTGCAAAAAACTTAAGAGAAATATCAATAATAGGTTTTTTAACACTTAATTTAGTAGAAGAGATGGCTGGGCACACGGGGATGGGGGGTTGGTTCCGAGGCAGAGGGCAGATTATTGGCCCTCACCTGTATCACTATCCACCACAGAGGCTTGCAGGGCCTCTTTGTCAAACCCCTCAAAGTCCATATCCTCACTATCACTGACTTGGGCCGGCTGTGGTGGGTGGCGGGTGAAGAACTCGGTAATGTTTTGTTGACTGGGCAACCTTGCGCGTACCCTGCCCGCGCCGCTTCCCGCGTAAATGATGGAATGACCCGTGTAAATAAAAATTGTCGGTCTGGCAAGGTGCCGCGTAAATGACCAAACGCGTAAACCAAATCCACTTAAATCGAGACTATACTGTATACCCAAAATTACGAATTGAAAAATATCTACTGTAATTGAGAGGTGATATTGTGTCCTATGTACAGTTTTGTATACGGTATAATGTACTGTATTGTAAATGTGTATACTGTACTGTACACAAAACTGGGCAAACCTTACAAGAGGTGTCTGACACTACAACATTAAAGTGTGTCACATTAGCCAGATGGCCAATATGGGGAAGTGCAAACAGTTTGGCTGGCACTGCACTTTGACTACTAAGTCTTTGGTACATTAGCAGACTGGTTGACTGGCACTGCACTTGATCGCATTCACTTTTCTGAACTTTAGGGATTGGTACCAACTACATTTGGGTGGATTGGGGTTGTCCTGGATGCAAATCTTCAATATGAGCAGGCAGGATTTAGGAGAGCAAAGGGCTGCAGTGATCAAATCTTTGTACTTAATCATGATACAGCAGAATGTGGAATACAGGTTGGACCCCGCTAATCTGGGACCCGATAGTCCGGCAGCTTCAATGGTTCGGGATGGTATCATAGCTCACTTCTAGTGGCTGTTGCCACTATTTTATCTTTAAATACTTATAATTTACCCCTAAATATGCCTCTTAAGAGACCAGCAAGCAGTGGAAGTTTTTGAAATGCAATAAAACGTAAGCATGTGACATTAACTATTTTAGAAAAGATTTCTATACTGAAGAAATTTGACAGTAATAGTACATTTAATGCATTATTTTGCCTTTTTTAACCTCGGCTTCGGTGGTTTGGAATTTTTGCAAATCTGGAACCAGTCTGGTCCCAAGCTTCCCGGATTAGCGAGGTCCAACCTGTACTGTATAGAAAACCAATCCCTGTTATTGTTTTCATCAATTTTGAGAAGACTCTAAACAGCATGCATCAATCAGCACTCTGGAGAACTCTATGAAATAATGGATTACCAGAGAAATGCAGTATGGCATATTAATAGGTGTAGTAGATGATGTATTAATGTTGATGGTCAACTCTCACCTGAATCTTGTGTGGAGAGTGGTATGCTGCAGGGAAATGTTTTGTCCCTTCTTCTGTTTGCTGTGCTCTTCAGTTTTGTTGTGAGATGAATGGTGATAAAAGAAAGGGGGAACAGATGGGTAGAAAACAAGTACTGTACCTCGCAGATTTGTACCACTGTACTGTATGGAGACAATGTGGTACAGTATTGTGAATGGGAGTTCACAAAACATATAGGTGATAGTGAACAGGCTATAGGAGAAGGGAAAAGGATTGGTCTGACTGTCTTGTACTGTACAGTAAATGACAAAACCATCTTCCCAGTTTGGGATGAAAGTATCAAGGATTACTCGAGCCTTCTGACACGCTCTATCCCTCTGGGAACTTTTGAACAGTTAGTGGGCCTGGAAAGGACTAATCCTGAGTTTCCAGATTATCCCTGTTGTCCATTTATCATGACTGAACTATATCATTTAAAAGCATACCCCACTTATTTGCAAAGCAATTTAGAAATAAATAATATCTGGAGATGGCATGTTGCTTTAAAATAAGAAAAATGAAATGCATGGGTGTGTATGTGTATGAAGTGAACAAATGTGTGGACTTGGCATGTTACCAAGTTAGACAGTCCTCTTACCAGGCCAAGCTGTGTTACTGTACTCCCAAATAATTGGGTACAATTGTATTATAGAATGTACAAAAAAAAATTCTCATACTGTATATTGAAGATTACCTTTTGTAATAAGTGCATTAAAATCAGTTCAGAAAGACTGAAGCGATTACCATATGTAAAAATTTATTCAATGATTGAATTTTTTCTCCTTGACAGACCTGGCTGCATAGTTTTGTTTCTCTCTTCACTGATGTGTGCAAGAGGTGTAGTAATCATCTTCATAACCACATGCCCCCAACATGGAGAGAATTTCGGACATTAGACCCCGTTCATGAAGAATGTAAAGCATGAGCAGAGCATTAATTTTTTTTTGTTAAACATTTGTCGTGAGATAGTGTGGAGGCAAGTGTATAATGATATGCTAAGAATATAAGAATGTAATATTCATTTTAATATCAAGTTTCTTTTGTATCATACTTGAATCATTCGCAAAATGGAGTTTTGTAACTATAGACTTTAGACAGTTTATCAGATATCACGGCCTATAAGGCGGCGGGGTGCATAAGACGCCCCCCCCCAAATTTCCATTTAAAAAGTAGCTTTTGAGCTCTATTTGCTGTATAAGACCAGTACCCCAAATGTGACACTTACCCACTGACTCAGTAGTCCTTTACCAACCATCCTTGATTTTTTAAAATAAGGCCAATTCACTTCAAGTAATGTCATCAAATTATACCCGCTGGTGGAGTGTAAACACTAGTGACGTCACTGAAGCGTGGTGGGAGTGTTCCCTCGTCTCGGTGGTGTGGCTGTGTTCCGACTATTTATACAACATGTGATTCAACAGCAACCACCGTATTCTAATTGTGGTGTTTCATTAGGATTTGAGTGAAAAAGGTTACCAGTATGTACTTACTACAGACATTTATTACACACACACACACATATATATATATATATATATATATATATATATATATATATATATATATATATATATATATATATATATATATATATATATATATATATATATATATATATATATATATATATATATATATATATATATATATATATATATATATGTACTGAATATACTATGTACAAAAAATGAATGTTCAATGAATTATTTATGGTGCATTAGGGTACTGGCCACTTCAGACACAAAGATGGGCTATAAATAGCCTTGTTATCTACCGTACCCCTACATCTCACCCTGAGCCAGAGGGAAGCTTCTTGGTAAATAACATTTGTTTGCTTATTTTCCATTTACTTGAAATAGATTTACCGAATTATTTATTTATTTATTTATAATATACTGTAATATATTAAACACACTGTAATTATTTTCTTTAATTTATAAACTTGTTTTGCGACAAAGGAATGTTCTCCAGTAGTGTTTCATTAGGATTTGAGTGAAAAAATACATGCATTTCTACACAATTGTTCTCTTACTTTTGACAACACACAACATACATACAGTATATTGTTTCTCACTTTTGATTTTTGTTTCTAATTTTTGTATTTATTTATAGTTGGTTATTTAAAATAAGGCCAATTCACTTCAAGTAATGTCATCAAATGTTACCAGCTGGTGTAGTGTAAACACTAGTGATGTCACTTGAGCCGCCTGTAATTAACCGTGGGTCACTTTTTTCCTCTTTCTTGTCTCCTCACTGGCAAATGGGGGCGTGGGGAGGGGTGTATGATGATAGCTGTGTTTATTATAGGGGTATAAATCTCTTTTACGGTATGTTAGACAGGTTTATAATACATTTTTATTATTTTAATATACCGGTAATCTTAATTTGAATCCAGCTTGCCAAACATAAGTTTCAGTATAAAATAATTAGTGGTAAGACCTTGTGAGTGGCTTACGATGTTTTCATCACCACTCTTGACACACTAAACCACAATATTTAAGAGGTAAGAATTTTAAACTTGGTGGTTTAGACGACCCCCTAACTTTGGGCAGATTTTTTTAATGTTCAAATTTCGTCTTATAGGCCGTGATATACTGCATAGATTTAATAGATTTGCATTCGTATGAATTTTATCACATTTCTGTTTAGATTGTAATACAAATATTATTCAAAGAAAAAATAAAGTTACCAATACCTATTAGCTTTTATTTGAAATTAGGGGAGAAGTTAAAACTAAGAAATACAGTAAATGTGTTTCATATACAGTAAGTCCACGTTTAACGTTGCAATTGACAATGTTGTTTCGTTATAACGTCGATACTCTTTAGATACCCCTGATTCGGAAAACGTCCCGCCAATTCAGTATAACGCCATGGACTACTTTGTATGGCGCATCACCCAGTCAGCGGGAGGAGGAACCACCCTCCGGCTCTCAGTGACTCGCCACCCTCCTCCTCTCCCACCCTCTTCCTCTCCACTCCCCACCACACACTTGCTTCATATACGCCAATCAGTGAGTACAATACAAAATGAAATAGTTTATTTACCTTTTTGGATGTATAATATAAACTATTTTCTATAAAAATTTCATTGACTTCATATATGCTTAATGTATTTTATGGGGTAAAGTGGTCCTCTCCCCCACCTAGTCAATCTCCGCAACCAGGACCTTCTTCCTCATCAGAATAAAGTGAGTATCCTAATTGGGATATGTAAATTAACATTTTACCTTCCGGTAAATGTTCCTAATATTGGAAAATATTCCAAATAGTTTATAATCATATTCTGGACCTAAGCTAGCGGAGCCTTATACACAAAGTCACCTCCCTCTCCACCTCCTGCTCGTGTATTCAAAGCTAGGCGTCGCATTCTGGATTGAACAAAATGCTGTTTTTTTCTAAACAAGTTTTTGTGATATAGTCCAGAATGTGACGTCGACAACCCACCCAACTCCACCCCTCGAGAGTTGACTTTTGTTTACTGCTCGCTCTAAGGCAAGAGATGACGGTGGCAGTGCATGTGATGGAGGGGGTTTTGAGAATTGCAATTAAATGCCAGGTAGCGACGTGTCCTAATATTACGTATTTAAGTAATTATTAGATGTTTTAATTGCCTGTATGTTGGCCTGGCGAGTTAATGCTAGGCATTTACTTACCTAGGTATAAAGCTAGACGTCGCATTATGGATTGAACAAAAATACTATTTTCTATAAAAATTTCATTGAATTTATATATGCGTAATGTATTTTGTGGGGTAAAGGGAGGCTGGGGAACATAACTCCCATATTTTATCTATTTCTTCTGGGGAAAATTGATTCCGTTAACGTCATGGTTTTCAGGAACGGAACCACCACTTTAAGCGAGGACTTACAGTACTGTACTGTGCATATATATTCAGCCTTCAACTCCTTCACTACATGGATGCCACTTAGAATATGTTATTTGGCTAGCACCAGATGATTTTATTCAGCACAGAGAGGAACCTTCACACAAGGGGTTGGTACATAGACTATCTCCACTAATCTCTTCATTATGGGAAGGCCACTTAAGATATTTAATTTTGCCAGAGCCAGACAATTTTATTCAGCTTAAGGGGTTAATTTTTTTGGTTTAACAGAATCTTATGAAATTACCAGCTAGTGTACCTTATGAATAAAGAAAATAGTGCACAATAATACAGATATAAAAGACAAATTAAGAGAGTAAGGGTATACTGTATGGTGTGAGATGGATGTATCTGAGAGCAGCTGGCAGTTTGTCAATGTATCATGACACTGTATACCTCACTGTGGACATGTATATCACACAAATGTTCCATCACCAATAAATGAAAGTTTAAACAACATTATTCAATTTTTATACTGTACAGTGGAAGGTTTGCTGTTACTGGTATATTACACTGACATTTGTGCACAAAAACTCTTGTAACTTGGTTGAGCAGGGGACATTCCAAAACCAACTTCAAGTACTTTGGTTGGATAAAGGTGAGACAGCATCCAGCATAGATTTGTTTTGAATCATTGGTATTGTAGACACCTATACTTTGTTTTGGAAACCTTTCCAGTGGTAGTGTATTCAAAATCAAATTTTGCACTGGTACTGACTATGCTCAATGAATATGGGGGCATGAAGATCTGTCAACACACAATTATGGAGGTTTCAAAACTCTGCTGGTGAATATTCCTTTGAAATAAATATATAATACTGTACTTCAATGAATATACAATTTAGTGATCTTTCAAGTGAATTACAACATGGTGAATACCAATACATTTTAGATAAATAGACATAACTAATGTATTCTATTTAGTAGGTACAGTACTGTAGTAGGCAGCTATCAAACAGGGAGGCACTACTGCCTGGGAAGATATTGGAAGCATAATGTGTTGTCTCATGGTAGACCCTGCTGCCATATGGCATCAAAAAAATTGTGACCAAGTCCCAGGTTACTGATCTGCCTTTCTTCCTCATTTACATACAATTGCAGGGTCTCAATTGTGTGTCTTAGTTTGACAATACAACATAAATACTGCATATCGTTT